AAAAAAAAAAAAAAAAAATTATGTTTTGCCCAAAAAAATTGAAATTTATATTAGTTAACTGAATATTCACGAGTTAATTATAAATTACGACTTCTGTCTTAAGAAAAATAGTTATATTTTTTTCCACCTAATATTTAGTTTCACTTAATATTATTTTTACTTACGTATTAAGAAAAACTTCCATCCTAATAAAAAGAGTTATAATTTGTTTCACTCCGTTTATATTATTTTTTTTACTTACCTATTAAGAAAAAGAGTTTGAACATAAGATAAACTTCACATATAATTGCTAATCATTAAATAAAATTTCATAAATAAAACTTAATTAATAAAACCTCATTTATTTTCCTCCAAGAGAAGTTACAAAATTTGTCACTCATATTTTGCCTTTCACATTAATACACCCTATTAAGTGTAATCATGTAAAATAATTAATAGCATTAACTATTATTAATATAATAGCAAAAAAATAGCATTAACTATTATAATAATAATAATAATAATAATAATAATAATATAATAATAATAATAATAATAATAATAATAATAGTAATAATAACAATAATAGTATCTTGAAACAATAAAATTGTTTATACTTATATAATTTATATTTATTGTGAAATATTATGAGTTGGTAATAGCATTAACTATTATATAATATAATAGCAAAAAAATATATGATTACAGATTTCACTTAATAGGTTGTATTAATGTGAAAGACAATTTTTTTTTTTTTTGGAACGATAGAAATACTCATAACATTAAAACCAACAGAACAAAAAAACAGTACAAAGCCGACAACTTGAGAGCACCACTCGCAGGTGGCCTAGACCAATACAATAACACAAGCCAACCAATCATCTAGCTACTGGTACAAAGCAGTACACACCTTAGCCTTTCCACCAAACCTGCTAGAAGAAAGCTAGCCTAAAGAAAGAAAAACCAAACAACCCAACTACTGATATGAAATCCTAGCAGGGCAAAAAAACCACAACAAAACTAAAGATACAGCAACTATGAAATTAAATAAAAGCTCAAGCACCAAGGACCTGCACTTCTCTAGTAGCTAAAAAGGCTTGCCAGTCAAAGACTGCCATTTTAACTATTTGAGAAGCAGGTCTTCTAACTTGCTCAAAGACCCATAAGTTACGCGACTTTCAAAGCCACCATAATATGTACGTTGATAACTCATTCTGGCTTCGGAAACTTCTGATTTATCCAATTGACACACTTGCCACCACCACTTTTTGAACGACTCTTGCTTCTGAGGGCCCTCCCACTGAACCGGTGCTAACTTCCATACCATCTGAGCCAAGCTGCAATGAAAAAGAATGTGCTCCAAAGATTCAGGCTCCTCACCACATTGCCTGCAAGTGGCCTCTACACTCATCCCTCTTGAGATCAGGTGCAAGTTAATTGGCAATGATTTATTACAGCATTTTCACAAAAAATGTTTCACCTTTCCCATCACTTTGAGTTTCCAGCTCCTTTCCCTAATGGCAGCATCTCTAACCAGATCACCACTCCCTTGGACAGGCTCCATCTTGAGGAATTTATCAGTAATGAGCTTTGAGTAGGTTGATTTTGTTGGGTTCAATATACTGTACGGAACAGAGTTTGCAGCGGAATTTAAAATTTTATAAGTATTTATCTTATAATACTTATTCCGTACATAAGTATAACGAGATAACAAATAAGCATCATTTAAAATCTAGTAACTTTTACTAATTTTGATTTGATATTTAATTTATAAAAATTACCTTTGTTCTTGAACTCCTTCAAAACCGACGATGTATGAGGAAATCAATTCCCGGTTTGGTAACGATCACTTCTTGTTGTTACTCACTTTAGGAATTCAAATGTCTTCCCTCTAATCATATCCACCTTTTGAACTTTGGTTCCGACTATAGTTTCTTTTCTAGTAGAAACTACTCAGTTTTTCAAGAAGTATAGAATATATATTTATAAGGAAAT